AGTTGGAAAAGGGACTTTTAACTAGATGCGTCTGCAGGTGCATCTAGTAATAGTTAAATCGATCGATTATCGGGCGATAAATCGATAGTTGCAACTAGAAAAAATCTAATAATCGCCCATACTAGATTTCCACTGTCGTTACACACTAGTTGCAATCGAGTAAAAATCTAATAATCTGGATGAATCGGGCGATATTAGATTTTTTTTTGACGCTTGGGCATACACATCATCTTTTATTTGACGATGGAAAATATATCAGTAAAAGTATAGATTCATTAGCAAAAAACACTGATTATTCAAAAGAAATGCAAAGATCGGACTTTGTTACTTATGCATGTGAAACAGAAAAAAATTGCAAGTGTTCACCACGGTTTTTTGTATGTGTTGTAGAGAAAATTATTTTTCTTCTAATTGAAGGTTCTGCTGTAACGATAGTTATTGAAGGTCGTGTAAATTCTTGCTGGGCCATATCAAATGAAATAAACAACAATCTACCCGTAGTTGTTATCAAAGTAACAAAATAGATTATTCTTGTACTTATATGTAATAGCAGGTAATTTTGTTTATAGGGCAGTGGTAAAATGTCAGACGTAATTGCAAGTTTAGTTGAAATGACATCCGGTGATCGCCAAAAACCGCCTGAGTATTGTTTATGAATTGATACGCGACATTGTTTTCATAGCTAGTTTGTCAATTTTCAGAGAACCAACAACTGCACAAATTGAACACACCCTTGATCTTATGTTTCCAAGAAGATTTGGGAATATAAAGAATTTTAAAGCTACAGTACAAGAAATTGAGCAAATTATGAAAAGAGACAAACGTAAATTTCTCCATGTCTTTAGTTTGGATCAAAAGGATGCAAATTTAACTCAAACCATTCTCAATGCTGTACTTCAAGGTCTGTTTAAATCAGTTATATTAAGGGTGGTTCTACACAATTCTGTCCACTTTATAAAGCCCTCATAGACGCAAAGATTTCAATATGGACCATACTGAAGAAAATACTCTTTCTCTGAGAGAAGTCAAAAGAACCGGAAAATCTACGACTTCTCTGAGAACTCAGCCTATGGTAAGTTAAGATAAAGTAGAGACGTGAAGGTAGCATAAGCAGAGATGTCAGAATATCAGTACGTAGTGTATTCTCAAAAAGAGGCTATTCGCTGGGCTTGGTGTATTCTCACTGATAATACACGAGAATACGCAAATATAGTGTCTCGATTGGGGCGGGGGGGAGGGCACATGGGAGTGAGCTACTATGCGACATTTCATGGACGAGAATAGAGCCGAAGTTGTACGTGCAAAATTCTTATACTTGGGTATTGCCAGTGAAAATACACTAAGCCCAGGAAGTTCAAAAAAAACAGTCATTTTTTGAGAATACGCTGCGTGCTGATATTGTCACACCACTCAGCATAAGGTAAGGTAGCGTCGCGAACCTTTTTGGGCAACGTATGCTCTTTTCTGACGCAACAGAAACTTTGTAACAAAGTCTTTATGGCATCGGATGCAGCATGTTTTGAAGTGTATTGTTCACCAGTGAAATTGTCAAAAAGTCGATTTTCGTTTTTTGACCAAATGTCCGCTTGATTGTCCACTATATGGGATTATTATCGTTTCTGATTGGTTCGTACTGCTTCAGTGAGAAAGTATAACGACACTCTTTTTGTTCTTTTCTCGAAGAATTAATATTTTATCTAATACTGCTGCAAAAATTTTCCGTACGATCCAAACCTTTTTTGGGTTTTAATCATAACTCAGCAGAGGAGTGGTCTTTCAGCAAACGGTTTTCACGAAAATGTTGCCAATTCGTGCGACTATATTTGTAGGAAAAAAATGTTTTAAATATTGGTTATTCTTGTCTGTAGATCGACATCAATGCTCGACTATCTTCTTTTCGTTTATTTTTATTTTTTCTTGAAAGTTACTGAGATTTTCACCAAAAAATTAAAATGAACGAAAAATTTCGAAACATACATATATCGTTCGACTCAGTTATAGGTGCTGACGCCGAATATGACATTTTTATTGCATAAAAGAGTTCTAGTTGACAAAGTAGAGGATTACAGGTAGAATTCCGATTTCTTCGGTACTGAGTTAGAGAAAATGTATTCTCTTAGTGATAAAGTAAAAGGAAAGGCGATCCGTACTTTTACTTTTAAAGCTCGCTTAATGGCGGTTCTAATGAATCTAGATAAGTCATAAAGAAAATGATAAAAAGTAGAAAACCCGCAGAAAGGAGATGCTTTTAATGAGATTCATAACAAACAGACGAAAAAAAATGTGTCTACTCTTTTTCGTAAAATTTTAAATCAGCCGTTTTTATACACAGTTTTTGATGCCCTTTCTATTGATATGTCTAACATAAAATTTCATTCATCCATTACCGAAGTACAGAGTTTACATATTGACCATGTCAAGTTTACCTTTAAAACCGGTCTACCGGCCCCGAGAAAGATTTTTTTCAAAAACCCTTTTTACCAAAATGTTCGTTATCTTCTCCACTTTCCGCTGGTATAGTTTTCATAGCTTTAAACTTTCTTGACGGATCAAAAAATCAATTACAATAGGCGTACGGAAAATTTTTGCAGTTCTTCGCTACCCGACGAGAAGATACAAGTTTTTTATCTACGTTCTGCGTGTGTATACGTCAGGGTTGGGATTCAAATCTGGACGAATTCTGAAAATGCCTAGGCGAAATTAGAATTCTAATTTCAACTAACTAAGATTGGAATTCAAGAAGATCAAGTAGTTGCGACACCAATGGTTCTAAACTGAGCTAGTGTGAATTCGAATTCCAAGTAGAACTGAATAAGATCGAAATTTCAATGTGAACTGACAAACTGGACTAGATAAGTTTAGAATTTAAAATCATTCTATAAAAAAGGGAAACTAGCTAATTTTTCGATACAATCAACTAGTGAATTTTTTGATACTGGATTCGATTCTGATATTGTCTTTTTTCTACAATAACAGTAAAAGAGATGTTCAATTTCTGTTATAAGGCATTTATATTGTTAAAGTTGTTGACGCTGATGTGGTTTATTGAACAAAACATACACAAACAGTGAAAAAACCTTTTAACCGAAATCTAAATTTTGCATCAAGTGCTTTATACTTATCGGATGTGAATACCTGTAATATCGGATCATGCATTGGACATTTTATTATGTATTGTACACGTTCATTTGGATGAAGAGTAGAAGCATAAGACTCAAATTATTCTATAAGACAACTCTATTGTACAAATTTTATATCAAAACAATAAAATTCTTTTTCCAGTTACTACGTGAAACGGACAGTCGCGGCGACGCGGACTTTCTCATGAACTCGTTGTTTTTGAGGTGAGAGGCGCATCCAACACTCAAATACATCATTTTAGGAATAAACTAGGTAGATTTGACAAAATCAGTTATCATTTTGTGTACTGGGTGCAGAAAGGCAGTGCTGACTTTGTCACGGTACTTATTGTGACTCATATAATCAGATAAAATTCCCAGACTAGTAGTCTAAACAGAAAATAAACTGCAACTAACTGATTTCATAAAATATATTACCGAAATATTACCTTGGTGGAAGTTTTTACCTGAAGCGTAAAAATGACAGCTTGAGATTTTGACCTGTGTTTACTTTGAACTTCATTTTGTACCTTCAGCGTAAAATTTTCAGCAAAATCAAGCTGAATGGTAGCTTCATTTTGCGCTACAGTTTCTTGGCCATTCGCACTTAATGCATGTCCATTGGTTTGATCGAAAAAGCCTAAGGGCAGCCATAAAACTTTTGTCCTATAGAAAACCATGTTCTACATGTTTTTTTGAAAAACGAACCTGATATTCTATGGCTAACCTTTTATGCTCTACACGAAGTCCATATTGGAATCTTTGCGGGTATGAAAGCTTTATAAAGTCGACGGAATAGTGTGGAAGTACCAAGGGGCAGACAACTGAATTCCAAGCACCTGTTCCAGCCTTACAGAAGCCTGCAAAAATTCTATACAAACTTTCCATAGCTCGAGTAACTGGAGGAGTCTCTGGAAGTCAAAAAAAAAAAGGAAAAAGCGATTAGAATCCGATAAAATCCAGAAAACCTGTAAAAATGATTGAAAATGGGACCAACAGGAAAAAAATTGGGAAAATTCAAAAATAGATAGAGAAATTCTTTAGGCTCCGCGAAGTCACGAAGGGTGAGCCCCAGAAGCCCAATAAAATTGAAAAAAACCGATAGCATCGTATGACTAGGACTCCAGATTACAGAACTCACAAAATCTGCTGTTTTCTCCTTGGAAAGTTCCCTTAAATTGTTTAAATGGAGGTTATATTTAAAGTGAAAGCGACCAGAAGAAGAGAAGGGTCTGGAAATACTGAAGAAAATATAAATAATCTCTTGGAATTAGCAATCAAATGGAATTGTTTTGAAGGTGTTAAAGATATACTTGAAGAAAAACAATATGATTACAAATTAACAGTAGGTGAAAATTTGCTAGTTCATGACGAGAGAAGGGTCCCAACTGTCACATCGCTTTTTCCATCAAACCTAGTTTTAGATATTCGACCGCTGATTCCGAATATCGCCATGCCAGCTGCTCTTGGGCCTTCAGAAATGTGTTTTCTGGAAAACCAATTTGTCAGGAACTCTAAAAAATAACCAACACCTTTGTCAATGAGGCGTGGTTGTAGCCTGCAAATTTGGGATTAAAATGAGACACCTCACAGTTCTACACGATCTTTCTTTGGAAAGTTATAGAATTTACAAACGGTATAAATTAATTTTTTTCCTTGTTACTTCTGTAGCTTTGACAAGGGAGAGACAGTTGAATTTAGCCCGTTAAATTCAAGTAAATTCAAAACTTCACCTAAATTCACTTAAATGCACGTAAATTCATCCAAATTCATGTAAATTCCTCAAAAAGTCGAGAAAACTTTACTTAAATTGAACGGGAGTCAGAGAAAGAGATGCTAGTTAACCTCCGAAATCTGCCATGATAACGGTGTGGGTATTAAACAGCCAATACTGTGAAGAACATTCGTATAGCAGCCTTTAGATTTCTCTTTCCTTTCTACTATCGACGCCACGAATAACTCCAAAGCGATAAAAGATAAAGACCTGTAATTTTGAACGACAGAAAGAAGACAGTTTAGCCTATGTTTTCATAAGCGAAACCCTTTTGCGAAGCCATTCGGAAGACCGGTTCCCTAGGATATCTTTGGAAAACCACTTTGGATCTCCGGAAAATGAGACAGAAATCTGTCAGTTTGCTTTTATAGACAGATAGTCCAAAATGCCCTCTCCAAAATGAGAACTAAGCTAACTCTTAACTTTTCCTAGTTCACGCGTGACATCGGATTTGCTGAGAGTCCCAGGATCAATATTTCTTTAGGTGTGGTAATTCCGAAAATAAATGCAGACACAGATAATCGACCACGCGCAATATCGTGGCAATATTTTGTTTTCAAAACAGTTCCAAAAACCTGGTGAAAACCGATACTAGGTGAAATAACCCATTTTTGCCTATTTTTGAGTAATATCAAAAGATTCGTAATCCAGTCAGGATCCATCCAAGTTATTCCGATCCAAAGTCAAGTTAATAGCTCTGTTAGCACGTATTTTTCTTGATAACGACAATTATATTGTGTAGAAGTAAATAAAGCGTGTTTTATTAATAATTAATTAGCAGTTGTACTAATATCTGCAATACTGATTTATTCTCGATGAGCGACGAAGTGTGCGACAGTCTAAATAAATAATTTGAAAAGAGAAGCCAAAAGATGCAGAATCTTCCATTTCATCATGCCTATCCGATGAGCAACTATCGCTTTTCCTCAAATCGAAGTCCCGGAATTTCACAGTCGTGGTGCAAACCATCATGTATCTTCTGTCCACCACCAGCTTATCCGACAGAAGGTTGACTTATTATGACAGTCTCCATTGTCATGAAGTGTCCACCAGTAACGATGCGTCGCTTCGTGTTTCTCGGTTCTGTTTTTGTATTATAAAGCAAAGGTTGAATTTGAACCTTGCGCTGAGTGTAGTACCGTTGATTGTTTCTATTTTTAGCATCGTCTACGTTCAAATTGATTCAGTACACTAATCTAAGAAAATCTGTATCACCTAGCGTTCGTCAAGTTCACGTTCACTTAAGATTATGCAGCGCAAGACACTCTGAAAATCAGTGTCTAATTAACTGACAATGACCAAACTTTCCTTTCACTTCGGATCATATTTCGATTAGGGTATAGTTGTAGGTAATTGACCTGTTACCTCGACTTCAAATTTCACAATAATTCTGCATTATGGGTGGTTCGTAACTTCTAATTGCAATTCTTATGCATTCTTCTGAAAGTTTTCGTTTACAGTGGCAGCAGGTGACTGTTCTCAGTGTTTTGAAACGTGTAAAAGCACAATAAATTCTACACAGTTTTTTACTCTTTTTTTCAATGATGCAGTCAGTTTTTTTCTGATAATACCAACGTTTTTCAGTACGAAATGTGTTTCATATTGCCTTTACAGTCAAGGGATAAGCAAATCAGTAAGACGAACGTCACCTATTCATTTATAAATCGATGAAAACAACTCGTTTTACTTTGTTTTGTTTAATTATTTTCAAAAAATTTTAGAATCCAAAATTATTTCCGAAATTATTCAAACAAGCTCTGGAAGAAAACAGATCAGAATTTATTGATTTTTTTCTACGACTCAACTACGATCCTCGTGAAACAGTCGATTTTCTCGATTTTAAAGACACTATCCCACATATGAGAGAGCATTTTACTCGCGAGAATGGCGAATTTTATCTCGGTCTATATGGTCAACAGCTTTTTTTTCTTTATTTGTACAACTACGCTGTTACACAGGTTACTTTTCATTATCTAATTGTTCTTTCGAGTGACTCCCATTTTGTTTTTATTTTTGTCATTTAGAAAAATCGACAGTATTTATTTGGTGAATCACCCGAATACTATTCTCAGCTCGATGATATTTATTCCAGGTGGATTGGTGCATACGTATTTCCCATCTGTGATAAAAATCCATCGGTTGGGGAACGTTTGAAGTTGCTGTTTGTCCTCGTCTTGAATAAATTAAGAATCTCAGTTTGTGCTTCATGTACTGACACTAAATCATCGAATGAAACATCTGCAAGTGTATCTGGAGCAATCAATGCAAATCCGACTGTTAGCCTTCTCATATATAAAAGTGTTTGCAAATATTATCAACAACATATGTTAAGAGATTTATTTTTATGGTCAGTGTTAACAAATAGAACGGAAATGTCTAAAGTATTTCTACTTCATATTGAATCACGTATTTCTGCCGCATTAGTTGCAACGGCAATATTAAAAAATTTGTCACATAAAACATTGAAAGTAGATGAAAAACATGAATATAAACGACAATCAATTGATTTTGAACTATATGCAACAAAGTGTATTGATGAATGTTATAAACATAGTGAAGAAAAAGCATGTGAATTAATTATTCGTGAAGTACCGCTATTTGGAGATGTTACTTGTATGCAGGTAAATTATTGTCTTTCTTTACCTGTTCGCTTCATATATCTATGTAGGTATTTCTGTGTTTTTGTAGACTGCAATTGCTAGCAGATCGTCAACGTTTATCAATACCGATTGCTTTAATCAAACTCTAAACCGTATTTCTTATAACAAGTTAGATTTATCAAATTCAACATTGTCATCAAAACCCAAAATATTCTTATCTATGATTACATTGGGTTTGTTCGCACTTATTCTACTATCTTACAGAGGAAAAGAAGAGAAAGGAATTTTGAATCAAGATATTAAAGATCATAGATGTGGGAATGATTTCGAAACTGTGGATGCTCAAGGACAAGAACGCAAAGAAAAAATTAGTTTCTGGTGGAAGAAAATGAAAATTTTCAAAATCTTTGTGTGCCAAAGCACCGACAGCTCCAGTGGTTCCGCCGCCTCTGATCAACGCAAACAAACTGAAACTGAACCGTATGATTGAAATACTGAAGTTAAACTAAGTTTTTTGAGTTATTTAACTTAATTTTACTATTTAAGTTCATATAATTGTGGTATTAATTATTACACAAAGTACGATGATAAAAATATTAATTATTGTTCAAAATTGAAAAATTTCTATTTATGCCCATTAATCAAAATGTGGTAAGAAAACAAAACGATTTTCTTGTTTATGTATTTAATTAAAACTTTTGTTTTACTTTTCGTATCAGTTTGCATACGTTTGGTTTTTACTCGTATTCAGTTATATGATGTTATATGATTTTGATTCGACATATGACCCAAATAGTATACCATATTGGCAACCAATTTATGTTACACTTACGGTATCATCCATGTTATGTGAAGAACTACTCAGAGTAATTTTTTTTATTTTCAGGAAAAAATAATACTATGATCCATAACTATATTTTCATATTTAGATTGGATATTATCAATATACAAGATCAGTAGAATATCGTTCTGATAACTGGGTATCTGGCTTGTTACGTAAATGCTTTTATGCATTACCGTATGTGTTATTTTATGTCGGTATTTTTTTGAAATACGAATATGGGAATAGACCAAATTGTTTAACAGCAGCGAGGTATAACACTTTCAGATCTCATAGATAACTATTTGAATTTTTATTGGTTGTTTAGGATTATACTCGCATTTGATCTTGAATTATGGTTTCTATTATCATTAAGATTTCTTAGCGCTATCAAAATACTAGGGCCAAAATTGTTTATGATACAAAATATGGTAATGCCCTAATCATTTTTGACTCATTCATTTTCACTGTTTTATTTATCAAGCTTCGTGATTTACTTGGTTTTCTTTGGGTTATGTTTGTTTTTGTTGCTGCTTATGGTGTTGTTTCTCGAGCGATGATCAAGTATAATCAAGTTGAATTTAATTTGTTGAGTATACTTGGTGAAATGTTTTATCCTGCCTACTGGTTTTTATATTCCATTGTTGATGACGATAAGAATGAATTAGACAGTATAGTAGTTAAAAAAATAAATAATATAAATTAATTGATTTATATTTATATTTTGTTTCAGATATTATTGGGTCAGCTAATAGTAGTGCAAATGCAATAGCCGAGGCAACTGCTACTCATGTTTTGCTTGCTTTTCATATGTTAATCATCAACATTCTTGTATTAAATCTTGCAGTTTTCGCGTAAGTTCTATAGAATATAACAACAAATATAGAATGAAAAATCACAATTTTATTATTTCTTAAAGATCAACAATCAATAGAGTTCAAAATAATATTGAATATTTTTGGCGTTATCAACGTTATTTATTTATCCAAGAATACTTTGAATGTGCCGTACCGTATCCACCATTAAATTTAATATTATATTTATATTTATTTTGCCACTATTTGTTAACAACACCATTATGTTTGAAAAACAATAAAGTAGCTAATATAAAGCTAAAAAAGGCTGAAAAAGAAAAAAAATTCAAACTCAGAAGGATTTTTAGTATGTTGATAAAATCAATGATGGTCTTTTTTAAATAAAATTGATCTTTTTATTACTTTAGAAATAAGTACAACACCAGAGAAAGAAGTTAACTGGACCAAATTTGAAAATGCAGCAACTTACACATATGCACGAAGCGTCGTTAATAAAAAGAAAAATATGAAGCGAACGAAAATTTAATAATATTACTGATTAGCTTATAATTGATTCAACTGGGATCACTTAGCTAATGAATGTTAGTAGAAACACTAAGAAAAGTATCTTAATTATTACGATATCTGTGTTTTTTAAATTTTCTTTTTCGATCATTCGACTTAATACGCTTGCTTTTAACATTTTATCAGCTTCATACCGAAACATGTGTAGAAGAGTGTCATTTCAAACCCCTCTCTGCTAGAAAAAACATATCTGCGTAACATTCAACTCATGAAAATTTCGTCAAATTCCAGTATTTTCTATAGGATTCTACTGATCTTATATAACCTTGTGTTGAATCCTGCAGGATCTGGTTAAGTCATATGACAGTCTACAATAGGATCCTACAAGTAAACTACTACTCATTTCAAAATATAATGGAGCACGGCAGGTTTTGAATAACGTTTGGTAGAAAGAATGTAGATTTGCCATTTTCACCGTTCAAAAGTAGACACCGGGAGATGTATAAAGATCCAGTGACGCCCGTTCAACCATCCATCGTCTGGAGATGGCGCGCCTCATCAAAACTTTTCGAATTATTTATTATTATTTGGGACCTGAGGACAGTTTTGAATTCAATCGAGCGCTTCGAAATCTTTCATCTCTTCTCTTCGTTCCGCGCAATTCCGAACTCTCTACCTATCGACACTTCCGAATGACAGCCATGCTCCGGATAGCCTCAAACTCGGTAATTTCGACGTGTGGGAACCTCCAAAATGAATATAAATACAAGTTGTTAACGATAGGACAGAGAGAGAAAATGCACGGCATGGGTAAATTTGAAGGCGCGGTGCAACCAGAACTAAGACTGGCCATTTTTACAACAAGTATATCAAAATATTGCATGTATGATATAACAACAGAAAAACAGCAACTATGTATGATAAAAGGAAAATGCATTAAGAGTGAAAGAAAATAATTTGTTTTAATATTCTAACTTTCCTCTCGTTAGATGAACTTTACTTACAGTATTTTCCCCATTTCGTCTCTTTTACTCAAAGCAAACATCAACTACTGTACCCCATTCGATAGAGAATTTCACAAGCTACTAAATGATATATAAAATAGGCACCTATTTTTTTGCTGAGTAGTTTTTATTAAATGCTAAGTTAATTTTTGTTAATTCCTACTTTAGTAAGCTATATTTTTGTGTGCCTAGGGGCGGTTGTGGAGAGAGGTGCGTGGAGGGCATGAGAGTGAACCACTAAACCACATTTCTGCAAAAAATATAATTAGTTTTAATAAGGCTATAGCAACGATAACTGATGCGGTCCAACTCACTGAAAGCAGTTTTTTGCAAAGTTCTTCAGCCTTCTCGCGTTTAGCATCCCAGTATTCGAATTCGGTTTTAGTTTCTTCACCGTTTTCAATAATGCGACCTCAACAAACTCACCATTAACTTGTACCTAAACCCATCAGCAGAATCATTTGTTTTGTCGATCCGTCTATCCCACTCGATGCTGTAAATCCTCATCTCGAAACTCTTTCTATTTTCGATCGAAATTTGTTAAAATTTTTAGTGAACGACTGGAACTGTAAAAGTACGATCTCAAATTTATCTGAGTTTTGGAAAAACTCTGTTTCTAACAAACCAAATCTGATAAAACCATTCTCTTCGCTTCTTTTCTACGTCCAAGGCTTAAGTTCTCGTCTGCCCGAGGTGCAGGAACCGATCGATTACAGCTCACCAACAGTGTGTACACTTGCCGAAAGCAGAAATATTATTTCGAATTTAGATCAGGAATGGTTTCCTGGATATAGAAGATTTTCTACCCCCGGCACAAACCATCATGGCGGTGTCTTACTTTTAGTTCATAGTTCTGTTCAAGCGTCGCTTTGTTTTAGTGAACTTAATTTATTAGCAGCTGTGTGTTCATTCTCTTGGTTGTTCGATCAACAGCTGCTTGTTATTCACCTCGCTCAAGTCTAATGTCGGTTGAGTGTTTACGTTTAATATGTTCTTCAAGTCCTTGCCAGTTACTAGGAGATTTTAACGCTTACTCAGAACTTAGGGGTTGTACCGACACCGATAAGAGAGATAAAAGCCTTGAGGAACTGAACCTGAACGTAACTGCGACTGAAGGGACGTCGAAACGATCTTCGAATTCGCCTACTGTAATCGACGTAGTGATAACATCGGATCCTAGTTCAAACACAAATGTCGTCAAAAAAGGAACCAGTGGTCACTGACCGATTTTGCAGACGACCAATTATCTTACGATATCTACAGACTTTTTCAAAGATATCCGTCGGACAGTTTATTCTATTTTTCTTTCTTTTTTCTTTTTGTTTATTTTAATCATTCAGTTTATCGTTTGCCACCAGAAGAATTTTTCGAGCTTTTTTCTGTTTTTTTTTTTTTTTTATCAGTTCGAGTATCTCGTCTAATTCCCGTACAGCGGTACTGTCGTTCTTTACCTTTAACAATAAGAAAAGAAATCTTAATTCTTCACACACTCAGAAATCGATATTATAAGCGCAGAAACAGTTTGTATTACGATCTGTATCATGAACAAAGACACTTTGTTTCCATTTTAATTGAAAACCACCGTGGGCAACAACACTTAAAGTTTCTAAACTTATGTTCTTCGAGTGATTCAAACTATTGCTGGAAATATACCTCAAAACACTTTATTGCACATACCCCACCGATGAAAGCACTAATCTGCGGAAGAGGTTTAATATCCGAACCACAAGAGGTTTTAAAGTGTTTCGAAGAACATTACCGTGATCATTTTCGATTTCCGATTGAGAAAGTTTTACGCGAGACAAAAGAAGAAGTTCAGAGAGAATTAGAACTAGCTTTCGAGCAATTTTCGAGCGATCAGGGTGAACCCTTTACGGTTATGTACCACGAAATTCGAAAAGAGTTAGGATATTTACATCCGAAACGGGCACTTGATCCACAGGGTACCTCAAATATTATTTTAAAAAAGAATATGTTTGCCTTTTCGGTCCTTTGTTTAATCGTTTATTTCTGACAAATTCGTTTCCTCAATACTTTAAAACAGCACGATTATTTATTTTATTGAAAAAAGGCCAGTTTCAATGCTTGGACGAGTTGAGATCTATATCGATTCTGAACGCCATCGGTAAACTCTACGAGAGGGTATTCAACCGCCGACTCGAAGAGTTCTTTAAGAAAGAGAATCTGATCTCAGACGTTAAGTCCGGCTTTCAACCGGGGGTTCGTCTCCAGACTCGAGTATTATCACTCTTCGAGCAAGTACGCATCGCTCTCTCGCCCGGTAGACCGGGAATGATGCTCTTCATTGACTTTGTGTCGGCCTTTGATCGGGTTTGGCATGATGCCTTGCTAGTTAAACTGGCACGACATTGAGTCAACCTCTTCTTTGACTATGGGTCTGTCGCTGGTTGAAAGGACGGTCTACCTATATTTCATTGGGAAATTTACGATCCACATCATTTTTGTTGGAGTGGGGTACTCCTCTAGGTTCAGTCCTTTCGCCGACTTTATTATATTTATTTCTGATCTAGTCAAAGTTCTAGCTGCTCATTCGACTCATTTTTATGCAGACGATCTTAGCGTATTTTTTTCTGTTCCGTTGGGTACGTAGTACCACCATGCTATACGTATTTTGCGAAAAAGCGCACAACAGGCTCTTGATGCTGTACACTGGTATTGTAAGAAGTGGCTTGTCGAACTATTCATATATGGATTATCATTTATTTTTTCGCTGACGGGAGAGCGAACTCTTACCGATCGTTTCTGGAGTTATTGGATTAAGTTTATGTCGAAATTTTCTATCTTTCCCGATAACGTAGCCTTAGTCGAAACATGGATTATGTATACTAATTTTCAGTTTAATCTAAATTTTTATGTTCACACTATATACAACGTGAATACGAAAAGAAAATCGCTATCGGGCGCAGCTCTAATGTGGCTAAGTGAAATTCGAATGAAGAAGAAAATCGAAAAGCATTTTTGACTCAATGAAGAGAGGAAAAGTAGTGATCATTGAATAAGAAGTAAAACCTATACAGCCGAACTAAACTAACAGAAACAAGAATTAAGAAGATTTACAAAGAAAGGAAAAAGTAGAATAACTACTCATAGTCCCTAACAACGTGCCAGTCTCTGAAAAGTCTCCTAATCTTTGCGCTCTATCACCATGCCGATCCGGTTTCTTGTATAATCAATAGTCGATATGGGTTATTGTCTTTTAGTAAAACTTTGAATCCGTTTCAGTCTATAGTATGTTTCTTGTCAATGGTATACCGACATTTGGGTGCAACGACATTTTGGTGCGAACGATAATTGGGCGCAACGATAGTTGAAGTTCAAGATGGCGGGTGAGGCTGAGTGTGATTATCGATGAAGATTAAAGAACAGTGATTATAGCTGGATATGTGTAATATAGAAAACGCTCTTACACCCTACCAGGTTTGTTTAAAGAAAATTTTATCGTTATCCGTCATACTTTAACAAATGCACTCTTATTGAATGCTTTTGTCGTACATGCGCCCAAATGTCGGCGTCCAAATGTCTGGTAATCCTTGTCAATACTATGTTTAATATATTATTATACTCGAAAATGAACTTTGTATAGTTTGAAACGTCGAAAATAATTTAAAACTAAATAAAATACTTTAATGAAGCTAAAAAACGCTGCTGTTATCGTATTTTTTATTATAATTCTGATCATACCGTTCCTTGGACAGCATTTTGAAAATCTTTAATTCCAGTTGTCGTTCCAGTGGAGGATACTGAAAATGTTTTTATTCTTTTATTTTCTGCTTCTTTTCCTGCAGTTGGAGTATTTAAACTGTTCAAATTATTGTCAATGATTATTAATGGCTGATAAAGGTACCTAATTCGGTAGTAGTTATGTATATTTGTACATACGCCCGTCGTCGATGAAGAGAGAACACACGAATGAAGAAAGCTCCTAGGACTTCTCTATTCTTTGGTGTTCACGAAGAAATGCACGAAAACATAGGTTATCGACCAGGTGGAATCTCGTAGTGATGTTAGTTTCAAGAGAAAAGCGCAAGAACTGAGTGAAAATCTATGCTAGGTGAATAACCCAATTTTGGCTATTTTCATCAAAAATTAAAACATTCATAACTCAGTCAAAATCCACCAAAGCTACTTCAGAATATCAGGATATACTCTATTTTATGCGCTTAATCTGGTTCTGCACTTAAGACCAATAAAAAATATTCTCTTAGTTCGAATTTTTCTGGGAAACGTTTTCAAAAACAAAGGATTTTCTGTTGGTTTTTAAAACGTTTATTTAGCTTTATTACAGATAAAATAGAGCATATGTTGATATACGGAAGCAGCTTGGATGGAGGTTGACCGAGTTACGATTTTTTTGATTTTCGAAATTCCGTTGGATTTTCGCAATTGTAGAAGTTCATTATAAATACGACAATGCGAAGAAAATCATATCGATTTTCAACAATTGTCGAAATTGTTGGCAGCTTTGCTCTGTATATTCGACAATACTGCAAAAATCTGTCAGAATTTGGACTGTCAAACTTCCGATGGCGAAATTCTAGCTAGCGAAATGCTAAAATATCTAACTAACGGGAGAAATTTTTCCAACAATTCCATAATGCTTTGTCGATGTCGACCGACTTGGTTTATACTCTTTTCAATCGGGCTCCAAAACAGACAGTTTCATTTTGAAGAAAGTTTCGAATCGAATTGACTTATTATTCGACAAGCACCGGTCAACTTTTAAGACTTTCTGGTACATTGGCGCGAAATGAGGCGTGACATTGCTCATTATGTAAGATCGTGCGACCTGTGCCAACGTTTTAAGGCCGCAAACGAAAAGAAAGCATGTTTATGCTATCTCATGTAGTACAGTCACCTTGGCGCACTATCGGAGTTAATTTAACTGGTCCTTTACCTAAAACTCCGCGCCGGAATGCCCACATCTTAGTTGAAGTCGATTATTTCACGAAATCGGCCGAATTTTTCCCTGTAGGCACGATTAAATCGAGAAATATCGCTCAACTACTGCATTTGCCGTCATGACATTCCCATTAAAATCGTTTCCGATAACGGTGCACCATTTGACCGACGTTTATCGAGAAAGCTTAAAAATCATGTTTTAAATTCTACTACGGAGCAACTCAAACATGATAAAATATTCTTTTATCGCAATATGGTCAATTATACAGCTAAGAGGCCTTTTTATGTTATACATGTCTGGTACGGGACTCATTACCCAAAACCAGAAGGTGATTGGGCACTGTTGCGTTTAAATACTTCGTTAGGTAATGGATATAACTGGTTGGGTACGAGAACTATATCGTTCGATGTAATGTTAAGACGCTTTTAGCGTTCTTTTAGATCTCGTTTTCCTCTTGCAAAACAAAACGTGTTCGTCTCTGCCAGGAATACGTTGAGAAAAAAGTCGTTCTTAGTTAATAAAAACGCGTTTAAAGAAAGCGCTCTTCTCAACTCTCTGTCAGTCCTTCCCGTCTCTAAACGCGTTCCTCTCCTAGCTCAGTCGCCGTTCTCAAGTAATGCGTTCTTTTAGTAGTGGAACGCAGTCTCAGTCTCAAGGAAGGCATTCGGGAGCGTTTTTCTTTGAATTATCGTAGATTCTACCTGAAGACCTTATGATCAGAAGTCCAACGAGTTATTATCAGGCCACATCGCGCTTGTTACTTATAAGTTGAATTTCTTGTTTATATTTAACGAGAGAGTGATCTAGACATTCGTTCTATGTCTTAACGGTAATCTCATTCTAATAAAATTTGAGATGACTAAAATAGTTTTTAGTATGATGTTGGAAGATTCAACATTGTTTTGAGAACTATAAGTGACTTTTATTAAAACTGAGTTCGAGACCACAGTTTTACGTATTCTTTTTACAAGCTTGTTTATCAGTTATTTTTATCGTTATGTATTATAAAGGTCCATGTGGGCTTTATTGTTGTTGCTGACCGTCGAGGAAGGAAGGTGAGACGCTAGATGGTCTCGTCAGAGCTACACGATATGGTAGCTATGGATGGGAATGAGTGAAGAATCAGAGAAATGTAAGTATATGGCAAAAGAGAAGAGCGAAGAGTGTGGACTACAAGAAGAGAGAGACACACGAAAAAACAACACACGATCCTTGCAACCAGACGAACAAACAGAGCACAAGCTCTGTGCATTGAGTTGAGGACAGAGCCACAATTCCCCGAGGAACTGACCTTCAATTCCCTCACAGTCCCCGTGAGTTCCACGATATCCTAAAGACCAGGATAATGCATTGTCACAATATTTATCACTCCTGCACCCTCCTTGTATCGAGAAATAGGGAATTCGGAATGTGTGCGTGTGAAAAAATGTTATGAAGAATACATGTTTCTGATTTTTGGACGTAGTGGAACTCAGGGGAACTGGGAGAATTGACGGTCAATTTATTCCTTCCTCAAGGAATTATCATGGCTCTGTTGACAATTCCTGGACTGACCAAAAATTCCCATGTTTTAGTTCTTGCATAGCCTTCAGAAACACGTCAGCCACGATGTTCATATGCCATCTTGAGATCTTTTTTTTTAGCAGTTTTTCCTTTTCTTCACGAAATAATGGTAAAATAAAAATAAAAGTACAACTACCAGAGAAAAACACTTATTCGGCAATTCGGGATATCCCGTTGTATTCCGGATTCTAGATGAATATGCTGGAACAAAATGAGTATAGAGAGAAGAGAGATTATACTGAAGTTGGTGAAGAGAGAGAGAGAATTGGGAATCGAATTTTGAGACCCGCTGTATCCATGTGACGTCCTGCTCATAACAGTTTAGTACATCGTGACTGATTAAATCTTCCAGTAGTATCAATAAATTGGAGGATGGTTGTATACACTCCTATCAGGTCCTGTTTAGCCAGTGCTCAGATAGATTCATGTTTCAAAAGTATGTGCTCCAACGTAATGTGATTATCATTAAGAACAATACACAGCTGTTCAAACATAAAATTACGAGACTTATCGTAAATAGCACAGTCCAT